TTTTTCTATACAACTAAATGATTTACTTAATAAATTATAGGCTTGTAATTAAATTTTATAGTTAATTCAAAAAAGGCAAACAATAGAGTTGTGAAAAACATAATTTGATTTGAGATATATTTGACGTAAATCTGTGCACAAAAGCGTTAACTATTTAATTACAAAAATTAATCCGATTATATATATATTTTCTTTATAAAGCAATATGTTATCAAATAAAAACTAACTGTTAGTACCCAATAAAATAAGTAAATAAAAAATAACTATAAAATAACTCAATAATAATAATAATAATACTGTAATTATTTTGTTATTACAGAATAWATAAAATTGACTTATCATAATYATCAATGACATATAAATATTAATTTTTTAGTTTAATCAATACAATAAAAATGCACAATTATGTACTATTACTATATTAATGTARTAAAAAATARATAAATACTGTATTTGATTGACGATATTTTATTATAASATAGATAARCTTTGACAATATTTATATATTTAGTAAATATTGTTTTTTACGATTGTTTTTTGGTATTAATTWTAACTATAATACAGTTATATTAGATCAATATTTATGGATGAATTGYTTTAAATGCAATATTTATATAATAGTATATAATTTATATTAATTAATATATTATCCATACCTTCAAAGTTTTTCTCATCAAATGGTGGCCCTAATTTGAGTCGGGCAAATATGACATACAGGGGYAGCCAAGACAGTGCAAACARKGAGACAATAGTTATAAGCATTTTAAGTACTTTTATCTTAGATTTTTCAACAATCCTGGAGTTCCAGTCGTTGAGTGTGTCATCACTGGATTGTCTAACAATTTTAGGCATTTTTCGGCGCCATATCTTAACAAACAGTAAGATATAGAAGAATAGTATTATAGACAGCGGTAACAGATATTGTAGGCCCAGATTGACGGCTAAAAAATACATTTTTGATGACTTYTCGTCCGGCCAGACCTCCACACATGCCTACAATAGTGTTTAAAAATCAATTAAACAATTTTTTGCTTCARTTTTTATATTTATTTAATTTTTTCGCATAAAATTATCTCTTAGTTTTTCTATCTATTTTTCCAAATATATATATCGTATTTTATTTGTTATGTTRTTTGTTTTTTGTAATATTATACTAATATAATAATAGACAAAGTAATTGTATTTTTATTATTACATTGTAATGTATAAAAAATATTGCATGTTTTACTTCAATTGATATTGAGTTTGAAAAAAATATTTTTTGAATTGATTTTTAATGGTCTCTGGCATTAAAATGTCCAAACATTTTGYTTTTATAGATAAAAATTTCTATAYTATTTTAAAATCTTGTTTYTATCTATACTGTAAACATACAGTTAGTTATATGTCAATAYATATTAAAATTGTTTGTTTCTACCATTTCTACAGTATKTAAGTTAGTTTWAAAAAATATATCTGACAAAYAACAATGTCATTATAATTAYTTATAAAACATATCACGATTTAATGTTACTTTTTATATAATTTTAAATGTAAARCAAACATTACTAGACTTTTATAAYAAAAACAGATTGAAATAATAAGAGATTATATATTTTTTGCAAATAAAGCTCAAGTAGCTTACATGTACATCATCCATGTTTTCCCAGACAGGCACCAGGTCAAAGTAGAYGATCCAGGGTAGGGCTATRATAAAACTGGCCAACCATATCAATAATATAGTGGTTCGTCTCACACATAAATTGAAGCCATTGTTAAATGGATAATATATKCCGTAAAATCTATAATATATTTAAGCAGACAAACAAATAAAATTATATAAAATAAATATTAGTAAAGAGTTTTATTTGATTTGATTGCAATACTAAACAAATAAAAAACTTGTTGTTATGTAAATGAAAAAAGTTTAATTTTGAAAAAAATCACAATAATTTAATATTTATTAATATAATATTTTGTCGTTAAATYAAACACAATAGTGGAGTAAATTAAATATTATTTATAATAAATCTAATATAGAATCTATTTTTATTTGTCATAAAAAATTCAAATATACAATATATTCAATAAAATCAAATAACCCAGTTAAAATTGTATACAAGTAAATAATAGATTKWSATAAAATTATATATAATTATTGATATACTGTATATAAAATCGTTTTATTATAAATTGTTTGAAAGTGTCAGAAAACTATTTTATTTTAATTCAATATTGATTTTTAAAAATTCAAATAAAAATTATAAATAGATTTAAATACGAAAAWTTAAAAAAAAAACTTTATCTTTCTGCATTTGTACATTTATAATTACAATAATATTAATAATATATTAACATTAATAATATATTAACAATTAAAACCCAACGGGCAAAATAATATAATTAAAAAGTTAATTAATAGTTAATAATCAATTTTTGAATTTATCAAATAACACAATGACTATTATTTGATAATTTATTTAATAAATTGACTGTTAAGTGATATATTTTGAATAAAAAATTTTCCTAACATATAATGTACAATATTTATTTTGTCTAACATATAACTAAATAGCTATAATTACTTTATTTACTATCTATTATCAAAAAGATTCAAATAGAGTAAAATACTTAATAGAAAGAAAATTATAAATAGCTATTTRTTCAATAAAATTAATTGAATAAATTGAATAATATATTTGATAATAAAAGATATATTTGATTTATATTATATTATGTTACTTATAGTATTTACAAAAGTTGAAATAAATGTTAATTTCATTATTTTTGTAATTTGATATCAAAAATAATGTTTTTTAAAWRWTAATTMAATTAATGTATAATTGTTTATCTTTTGCGATAATAATAAGTTATTCATAATATTTATCAAAATAACTGAAAAATGTTTTAATTACGTTTTTAAAAAATTTTATAGTTTTTTAACAAATATTTTTTATAATATTTAAAATTGTTTGTAAACTTTTCTTTAAATTATTTTTAGTGAAGTTTAAGTTAATAATGTAAACATTTCTATTGTTCTTAATATGAAAATATCTTAAAAATAAAGCAAATTATAATGTCATTAAAATTATATTAAAACGATTTATTTATATAATTTGTTTTTATTGTCTCTGATAATAATAATACAATAATATTTATAAAATTTTATAATTGAAATGAGTTGTATTATCTAAATCTTTTTATTAAAAAGTAAATGTTATTTAGAAGATTTTCTAAATAAACAATAAATAAAAACTATTAATAATTAAAGTTGTATTGAAATTTTATACAAAAATATAATGTATCATTTTATAAAAATAGACTAATTTCAATATAAATACTTTTAAATATAACACAATAACTTATATTTTTAATTTATATAAAGTTTCTAAAAGAATATTTCTATCTATAATGTTAATTTTGTTATATATGTTATTATGTAACAATACATTGGTTTTACAGTAATAATTAAATATTAGTATTACTATTTTTATTATTAATTAAAGTAAAAATTAATTTATTTAATTATCTTAAATTTACTTATATATATAATAAAATGATTATTAAAATTTTAGAAAACATTATTATTAAATAATTATAATTATTTTACATATAGGTATCGCATTTTGTATATAGTGTATAGTGTAATGTAATATGATTAGTAAATATGTCTCATTATTTATATATTATTTCAATAGCTATAATATGGGGATCCCATAATAACAATAAAGTTAAATTTCTATTCAGAAATTTATTCATGAGAAAGTTTTTTTCAAAATTAGTTATTAAACTTTTATATTTGCCCATCTCTAATCATATTATAAAAATAGACTAATTTCAATATAAAATACTTTTAAACATAACACTATAACTTATATTTTTAATTTATATACAATSTTATATAMWGTACATTATAATGGTAGTTATATATTTTAATGCTTAAAAATATCTATTTATAAATCCAAATTATTTTATGTAAATTTAATAAAATGATTTTCATCTTTTATTTAAAAAAAATATTATACAGTAGATGTTCATTTGTAGAACTATATTAATATTAAATATTTATATAAAATAAACGTATCTATAAAATAAAATATTTAGTTGACATTTATTCATAAATAATAAACTAATTATTTAAATTACAAAATGCAACTGTGATTGTTTCGCAATAACTCWAAATATTTAACATATAAATATTATTTAAATGTTTATAAATGCATTTAAAAGCATACTTAATTATTAATATAAAAGATAGTAAATTAKAAACTTTAAAAAAATATTTATTATGCGAAATAAATTTTATTGCTTTTTGAGATCATATTAAATATATAATAAATAATTATATTAAAATAATAACAAAGTTATATTTTAGACATTAGAAATAAAARTATTAAAATTTTATAATAATTTTAGATTAATAAGTGATGTTAAATATARTTAAAATWAATTAAATACTAATTTAAAATCATTAGTTCTAAATGATTKGTASTATTTTAATAAATAAAATAATTTACTATTAATACATTTAATAATCATAATACCTGCTATAATATYATAGCTATGTAACCAATGTACTTTATATAATTTACAAAAGTACYAGTATGCTCTACACTAAAAATGTAATATKTAAAGTATTTAAATTTATACTATTATAATATAAACTAAATAATATAATAATAGATATTGTAAAACAACTAAATTGAATTGTTTAAAAATACTATAYATTTCATYTTTTTAAATATTATTTGACAAAATAGTTTTATTTRATAAATTGAAAATAATGTASATTTAAAAATAAATTTTAYATAGAAAACTAAAAATAGTGACAAAAAATATAATATAATAGGATTTAAAAAAATATATATCATCATTAAAAGCTATCAGATTTTTAAAAGTATGCTAATSTCATTAATTATTTTTATAATAATAATARTATAGCGTATTTAATTACYTTATTATTTAAAAAAATAAAACAATGTTTTCAATATATTTTTTAATAACTAAAAAACRWGTGACACTTACCTGTCGGCAGAAATGGCAACCAATGTATACACAGAAGCCGTAACTGAAACTCCTTGAAGGTATGGAACAGCTTTGCATACAAATCGTCCCAAAATCCAAGCTATTTATAATTCAATTAACAAATTTATTAATTAAAAAAAATAATTACATATTTGCTKTTCATATWATTAATAAAAGTATTAATGGAAAGGATTTAATAATAAATTAATTACAATATAGTCTATAAATRATTTTATCAAATAATAAYAAYAACAACAACAACAAAATCAATAAAAACTAATTTATTCRACTTTTTAAAGTTTATTGAATTATATTTAAAGTGTATCTAAAAATATACTGTTCAAATAACATAAAAACTTTTTTAGAAATATTGAAAATATTAAATATAATATATATATTTGTAAAGTGCAGTGATATTATTGCAATATAAATMTTATASTAATAAAATAAAATAGTAAAACATGTGAAATATYTCAGAATTGATTGGTTACTGATTGAAGAGTTTGTGGGTCAAGAATTTGTTGCATTAATTAAATGATTAATTTATTATATGTTTGTCTCAAAAAAAATAACATAAGAATATTCTAATGTTATTTATTATCAAATCAATAATTGTCTAATAGTTGTGATTAGAGTCCAAAACAGGTTTGTTTTTTTATGTTATTTTTTTGCCCGAAAATAAATTATAAATCAAAAACAATTTTGYTTTAATTAATTGTAATTTTTTCTATAATTTTTTTTATCTATTTATAAATTATATTAAATCTCAAACTAAATACTGTATATACAGTACTGTACAATATATTTATATTTTAAATTCAATAACAAGTATTACTGTAATACGATTATGTACTGTATTATTATCGTTTGCTGTTAGTAGTAATAATATTATGTTCAATATTATATATATATATATAGTATTATAGTATAATGAAACAAGTGGTCAAATTCATAAAGTAAAATACAAAATAATGGCTTTTTACTAAATCTATTGATTAAATGTTGAAATAAAGTGAARTATCAAAATTGTTCATTATATAATACAGAATATATATATATATATATATATATATATATATATATATATATAGTTAATTATAYTGTAATTACTAATAAATTTAAATTGTAATTAAAAATTTAACTTTATTTCCGCTTTATTTTGTTTTGCATTTATTTATCTATTTTATCGGTTCGTACCGTAAAATCTATTCAYTCKTCTATATTTTAGAGACTCTAGTTTTTATGACCYAATAATATAAATAACTGTATTATTTACTATAGTCTTGATGTTTATCTAATAAAATATTCAATTAATTCAACTAATGCTAAATAATAAGTGAACAAATAATTCACACGATGTCATACAAACACATACTTAAAAAGATTAACTGTTTTGATATATAAAATATATATAATATGTATATAAGGTATTTATTTCTTAAACATTTAGTATATTGTGTGCAGATTAGAGTTGACAWAAAAGTAAAATTCATAAAATAATAGAGAAATTTCTCGAAAGTTTCTCAAAAGAAATGTTCTCGATATTTGTTATTTTGTAACAATATATTATAATTACAWATATAATAATTAAATATTATTATTAGTATTATAATTAATTTTTAAAGAAAAATTAAAATATTTAATTACATTAAACTAAAAATATAATTTAATCATGAATAAAATTTTTAAAAAACTATAATTATAATTAGATAATTATATTAATTTTTTAAAGAGGRATMCCWTARTATAATAGTAAAGTAAAATTTCTATAGAAATTTATTAGAAATTTCTATKTRCCCATTTCTAGTGCAGAAAAAATATCATATAAAATAATACGAAAATAGATGAAACATAAAACAAAGATTGAATATTTTATTACAAGTGTTGATAAATATTTTATTTTGACTAATTCATAAATTGATATTAGATATGATACAAATCAGTTATAATTTCATCAATAAGCCATTAGTATATAATATTGTCTATAATGTATAGTTAATACAATGTTAGATATAATATATATATAAGATACAAATATTATAGGCATTTGTTATGAAATTAATTATTGAAATCTATGATAACTTTTCTTATTTTTGTTGGTTATATTTGTGTGCTATTCGTATCTTTCATCGACAATAACATCAATGCATTAATTTATAGGTATATTGTTGTCTAAAGAGGAATTCAAATAAATTATTTACTTAATTGTATAAATAAAATCTGTTATTTTTATAAAAATCAAATCAAAGAATAATAAATAATATATTTTATAAATAATTAACTATATAAAAAGTTTTCAAGTATGTAAAAAATGATTAAATTTGATTATAAAGTATTATATAACAAAAATACTGATAACAATTTGTTTATAAATTCTATAGAGTTAGTAAATATTTAGATTTTAATAAATTATTAAATATTTAGTAAATAATAAATTCAATTTAAATTTAATAAAATTAATTATTTATTTGCTTAAAACTAATATTTAATCAATGAATTTATTGTATTTTATAAATATATAAATAAAACACACCTAATATTATATAAAATAGAATACAGTACTATTTAGTAGTAATAAACAAAACTTTATGTGATTTATACGAAAATAATATATTTATAATATTTTATTTTACAATATTTATCAAAAAAAATATTTTCAAATGAATCATTTTATTGACATTTCTATTATTCGGCAAAAATAGTCTATAAATTCTATAAAACAAAAATTTATAGTCTTATAGAAAATATTGCTAAAAGCAATTTTCCGTAAAATAAAAATTATAAGTTATTTTATAGAATTAAATTTTCTATTACTAAAGATTTTTAAAACTTTTTATTTATTTTTTTCTAACCTGATAATTTCTAATAATATCATCAATTGACATATAAATTATAAGATAAGACAAATATAGTTCAAATCATGATATTTACATTTAAAAAATTTAATTATAAAATTAACATAAAAATTAAAATAATATATTTGGTATAATTTGCTAATAAAAATTATTTGTTTAAAGCAAATAAAAATTTTGGAAAATTAATTTATATTATATGTTATTACTTTAATTTAACTTACTTTATTAATAACATTGACAACATATAGCTCATGAAATTTAGGTTCATTATTATGTTGATTATAAAAATATATATTATAAGTAATTATCATTTGATTAGATCGATAAGTACTAAATATGCAAATAATTAATCTTATATAAAAAAATATTTTATCATTATATATCAGCGTTTCATATTCAATTATATCGTAAACTGTAATAAATATTTAGTAAATATTTATTTTTATGTTTTTAAAATTTTATTTTGTAATTTTAATGTTTACAATAAGTTATTGATTTAATTAAATATTATGGTTGAATTATTTTACAGTATTAGGATTATTAAAGATAAAGTTGACAATAATTAAATATAGATTTTATTTGTTTACTATATTTACAAATAATTATAGTTTATAAATGTGCTAATGATAACATAGATTTAAATGAAATAATATGAAARCTAAATTTATTAGTTAGTCATCAGATATWTTAAATATGTTACAATAATCTTAAATTATTATATTTTGACTAATATATATCTAATAAATATATATATATATAATATTATATATATACATTTTGAGTATTTGCAACTATATTTTCATAAAATAAATTTACTGAAATTACCTATGAGATTGTATATAAATCTAACTGAATCAGACATAAAAATATTTATAATGTAAATATCAAAATTAAATCAGTTTTTTTTAAATAAAAATATGACATATAAAATACTTTAAAAAACTTAATCTAAATTTTAAATAATGACATAAATATATTTAAATGCAATTATAGTATTAAAATTTATACAGTATAAGTATTTTATATCTAGTTTATGTTAGATTAATACAGTATTTTAACATATACGTATTTATCTATACAGTAAATCGTTACTAAAATAATTTTTCTATAAAATTACAATAAATTTATAAAAGAAATTATTGAACTAAAAAAATTTATTGTAGTAGCTTTTAATGTTAACAAAAACGTTTAAAATATTTCAAATATTTAACAAATCTAATTAGAAAAACATTAGTAAAGAAAGACAAAAAATGACAAAAAAATAAACCATTAAAACAAATAAAATAGTATTTTAATGACTTTCATTTAAGTTCATTAACACACATTTTTACGCAATTTTTTAAGATTGTAAACTTATTTATATTTTACTGTAATTGTAAAAATACATTCATGTATTTGACTTTTATATACAGTATACTGTATTATTTGTTTTTTAGTCAACGTTAATGAAATTTGTCCAAAAGTATTATCATTAAAAAAAAGTTAATTATTATTATTTTAGATTCAAATATATATATATATATAATTACCAATATATAATAGTTATATTTAAAAAATAACGGAAGTAATTAATAATATTATGTGTATTTTAAGCTTATTAAATATAAAAAGATAAAACTAAAAGACAAATGTTTACTTATAAAAAATTTAAAATAAATAGTCATATATAATGTTTTGATATCATATGTTTGTGTAAATACATATCTTTTTTAACACAAGTATTTGCTTTAAAATAATATAAATAATTTAAGTAAACTGTTATTTAAGTTTGAAAAACTCAAAAGTCATTACTATTGATATAATACGGGTTTTCTATACAACAAAAATAGTATAAACTTAATAAATCATGTGTTATATGCTATCATAGGCTAAAATTGTGTTTTGAATGCCAAAAATCATATAAATAACAAAAAAAACTATTTTTATGTGTAATTTCTAATTTAATTAGTAAAATAACTATAGTACAATAACTTATATGATAATAATTAACTAAAAATATGGTAATAATAATAATAATAAATGATGAAAAATTTAGAATAAAACGTCTAAATTAAAATAAAAACAAATAAAAATTAGTTTTCATCGGATTTGTCTTATAAAATATAATTTGACAGATTTTCAGATAGTTAATAAAGTTTATTATATTATAATATAAAGTTTATATAAAAAATAATATTTTATTAAAAGTTTTTTGATATAATAAATTGAATTCACAAATTAGGAATATATTATACTTATAGATATACTGTATTAAGTTTTTAAAACTATTTTTTATTAGCTTTTAATAAATTAGTCTTTTATTATTTGTTTTTAATATCATATTTATAGTATGATATATTATGTCATTTGCAATTGTAATTATGTCATACAAACACATATAAAAAACAAAATCTATAATTTTTGTATAACATTATATATAAAAATACTTTAGGGTAACATTTTTTGAGTTTTTTTTTACATACAATGATAAATAATTTGATTTTAATATTTTGCTGGTTTTCTTGATTTCAATGCAAATTTATCTATAATTATTATTTAGCTTTTTTCATTAAATAATAAACTTATGATAATAAAATTATAACCTAATATATAAACTATAAAAATATTCAAAATAAAAATCTTGATTACATTTTTTTAATATTAATATTTGATATATACTAAACATTTTCTCTAAAATGAATAATTTATTGTTTATTTAATAATATTAGTTATCTTTTATAAAAACAGGGTTTAAGTTGATTACTTGATTTATAAAATTAAGCAATAATTATATTGTTTTTTATAACAACATTAATAAATCATATTGATTTGGGAATTTAATATTAAGTTTTATGATAAGTATACAAATATTATTAAATAATAATATTATACCATAAATTATCATTTTTGTAAATATTTAAAACACAATAAAAATAATTATTTAATTTTACAAATTAATATAGTTTTTATATTTTTAATTAATTAAATTATTTAAAACATTTAAGATTATTATTGCTAACATTATTTTAATTGACTATTATATGTACAGTATATGTATGTTATTGTTATTATATTATCAAACATATAAATTTATTATTTTTATAAATATCCGGTAATATAATGAAATAAAATATAAATAAATATTTATAATTTATAATCAAACCTAACATTGATAATAAAATATTACATAACATACGTGAAAATATATTTCCGATGAGTGTCGGCGGTAAACAAAATATGACTACCAATAGGTCGGCAAACGCTAAGTTACTAATGAGTCCATTGAAGACTTTATTACACGAATTGAATACCGAGAGATCGTAAGTGCGCCGAAAGGTCAGTATTATCCACAACACCGACAGATTACCGACTAAACCAATGATAAATACAAGTAAATATGCTATACATAGGGCAACAGTCCAACCGGCAGAGTATCTCATAAAACAATAGTCATCGGAATCACAGTTTAGTCTAAACTCAACACTTTTGATATCTTGAGGAAAGTTAATAATATTCAATGTTTGGTTAACATATGATTTGTTGATTGTTTCCGTGTCCTTATAGATAGTTATATTTGATTCACTTGTTATAGTATTTAATATATCCAT